ATAAAAAACAAACCCAGGCTTTTTGACGGAATACCGGGTACCAGTTTATGGCTAACTAGCGGCCCTGTCCCGGCTTCGCACGGGTAGACATAAATATGTACAGATATTAAAATTATAAGCATGCTAATTGAAACGACAATGATTCACTGAATTAGAAAAAAAAAATGTGTTTCGCGTCCTAGCTGTTAACGACCGTTGTCTACCTCGCTGTCAGGGAGCCGCGGCGAGCGTTCAGTGTTAGTGTCCCGTGCACGCGTTCGCGAATTCCTAGCTCTATTTCCTTCAAGTCGCTGAGACCATTTTGTTCTGCAAAACGAACCTGAACATTCGACGATAGATTCTCTGGCTCCCGCGTACACTGTAATACTTTCCAGATGATCATTTTAGAAAGAAGACTCTCCAATTAGACGAACTTTTGCTAATCTCGCTTGGGAACTATTCTTAGATAGCTGCGACCTTCTTCTTCTAGGCATATTGCTATGAAGGATATCATAAATCAGAGAAATTAAGAATAAACTAATAATAATACAAAAGAAAATAGTCAAGTTCAAAGCGATAGTTCTGAAAAGAACTTTGACAAATATTATGCAAAGTGATTCCTAATACTAAACTAAGTTGAAAACAACTTTTTAAGTGAAGCATAAAAATGTTTAGAAAAAAAATTGAATAGTCAATGTCGTTTGCGCCCACTGCGTAAGGAGCCCACTACCCCTCTATCGTCGAATTAGTTACTCGATGAGCGGCGTGGCGGCCGTGGCGGCCGCCACGCCGCTCATCGAGTATTTCATCGAGTATTTCATCGAGTATTTCATCGAGTATTTCATCGAGTATTTCATCGAGTATTTCATCGAGTATTTCATCGAGTATTTCATCGAGTATTTCATCGAGTATTTCATCGAGTATTTCATCGAGTATTTCATCGAGTATTTCATCGAGTATTTCATCGAGTATTTCATCGAGTATTTCATCGAGTATTTCATCGAGTATTTCATCGAGTATTTCATCGAGTATTTCATCGAGTATTTCATCGAGTATTTCATCGAGTATTTCATCGAGTATTCATCGAGAATTACAATAGTTATAGTTATAGACGTATGCTCTCGCGATGTTTTTTGTAGATATTGATATATTGTATAATATGAGATAGTGATATATTGCATAATATTGTAGAACATTTATTTGTCCTATCATTAATACTTTTTGCAGCGTATGCGAAGAAAGATTTTACGGCTATTTTTTTACGCCCTCCGTTGGTTTTAGTAACAATTTCTATAGATGTCTATAGTAATCGCGTACTAAATATAGCCTATGTTACTCAGTGATAATGTAGCTTTCTAATGAAAAAAAGAATGATTAAAATCCGTTCAGTACTTTTTGAGTTTACCCGTACATACATATACAAATCTTTCCTCTTTACAATATTAGTATAGATAATCATCAATCAACAATCATCGTGGTTTCGATCTCCAAAGTGTCCAACATGTTTTTATTTTTTCAAGTTATATTGTTTCTGAAAAATGTTGGACTAATTCTTCGAGCACTCAAGGAGTTAAAATCTCTTGATTATTTAAATAAAACACTTTAACGGTTTAAAACGCGATATATTAGTTAAACTTATTATGACGGCCTCAAACTATCAAACACCTGGGATCCCATATTAAAAACTCTGGATCCCAATAAACAGCATACCAGCAAACGCGAAGACACCGTTAGTCAATTCTGTAAGGACCCGGCCAGTTTCGCCAAATACCAACTTCGACGGAACAGATGGCGCTAGCGTAGCAATTTTTTTACTTTGACGTCAGAGACATCCTCCATCTTTAGTCTCCCCGTGACCACGGCTGCTGCAAAGCATCCGAAACGTCGGGCCGAAGTTAAAAATCATTTTCAAATAAGTTTAACTAATATATCGCGTTTTAAACCGTTAAAGTGTTTTATTTAAATGTGTACTACTCGCGTAAACTATAGACAGTATCTCTTGATGATGCCGCACGTAATGGCGAAACGTCGAGAACCTCTTTTCGCTCACGTCGGCCGAACACCCCGAAAGACAATGATATGTCGTGGTAGGAATTTCGAAAATTCCGGTGGAATCCACAGATGAACAATCGCGTATCGGTTTTAGCCTGTGGATTTCCGAATATCCAAAGCCACAGTAGGTCGACGGCGCATCTTGTTTAGATGCTATAGGCTGGGGTGTATTACATACCATCAAGTGATGGTGGACAGACAAGCGTACCCCACTTGCTTGTCTGTTCACGTCTATAATTAAATAAAACAGTACAGGCCATATTTGATAAAATAATAATTTCCCATACTATGTATGTATACCTAAAATGAAATAAGCATTTTAGTGACATCGTGGAAGTTTTGCAAGAGAAAGAATTTGTAATAACGCTCATGTCGTAGCCATTTTCTCTGAACTAAATTGCTGTTAATATTAATATAGTCCTTATTATGTATTAAGACTAAAGTGCAGACGTCAAGCTGACATCTTGTTTGATCAGAGGAATCAGTGAGTTGGAAGTAATCTTCATCAGTGTTGAAAGCAAATAGTCATTTAATGTAAGAAGGCTGCGGATTCTAATCACGTAAATGGAATTCGCTTGGAATTAGCATAATTTTATCGCTTAAAAACTTTTTGGTTTAAACTCTTCTTATTCAATAAGTACAGTTATAAAACAAATGACATTTATGTCTTTTATTTATTATTTTCAATTCCAATTTAAGAAAAACGTAACTACCTACTATGCCTACTATACCTAGGTATCTTCTTTCTAGTCTACGTGGGTATACAATTTTGTGCAGGAACACCTCGCCTTTGTAACTAAATGCTTAAAGGCCCATTAGGACGTAGTTAAACTGTCACAAGTTACTTGAAACGGTTAAAAACCCGAAATATATTAGTCAACTTATTTTAATTTAACTACAGTCTGAGGACCCAGAAGCTCTGTATATATATAATATACATATTCCACGTTTCAAACCGTTGAAAGTGTTTTACTTAATGTGGTTTGGTTAATAATTGTAAATATATACATATATTTACAATTCTTAACCAAACCACATAAGTAAGATAATTTCGCAGAATTTCTATCAATGACAAGTTAGTGAAAAGCTATCTCCCTAAACCGGAACCTCAAGAATCACGAAGTTCCGGGTTCGACTTTCTTAGGGTGTTCAGCGGAAGTCCGATTTTACGCGGCGGAAATGAAAATAGTGTTCAATGGAAATCTTAATATTTTTCATACGATGGCATTATATAAATTTAAAATATATTTAGATTAAAAAACTCACAAACAACAACAATAGTACATTATGATATAAGTGCGCTAAGTTGAAAATTACAGCCGAGGCGATATTACTAGCCCGAGCCATCGGCGAGGGTTATAAGAAAGCAGAGGCTGTAATTTTCAAAGCGCACGTATGTCATACAACGTTTTATATCATAATATTTACGAGGAAATTAATAAAACTCTAACTTACTTAAACGAACATGACGACATTTTCAAATAAAAACGATACAGCGAAAAGAAAAAGCGAGGGGAACTTTTTACTTGTCCACAAATAAGCGATGCGCGCGCATCAACGTTTTTTTTTTACGCAATGGTACAAAAACAGCCAGTATTACTAATAAAGTAAATTAATATTTGTGTGTTTTTGTTACTTAAATAAAAGGTTGTAATTTATTGTCAAAATTAATTAAATTAAAGAATTAAATGTTTATTTGTTATATTTTATTTCCCAAAGTTAATTTTATTCATAATATATTGACCACTTTCTTGATATAAAACCTCTTTGCTAAGATTTTTAAAAGCATCGTTCATTTTTAGACGGAGTATCTTAAATCTTTATTAAAAAATAACACACGTGCCTTTTACATTACATTATCTCACAAGTACGTAATGAGATACATTACGATATTGAAATTGGTGTAATTACAACCACTTTATGAGCTAATATGTTATAAAATACATTTGTAATTTAAATAGTGTTAATCCTAACGTATTATTTTTTGTTTTGTTACATATACACTAAAACATACTATAAACTAATGGTCTGTATGTAAGTAATACGCCTTTGTAAATAACACTTAAGTATAACATAAATTTAAGTAACAAAAGTTGAAAATAAATTCATTTCTTTCGTGTGACAGTACTTATTATACGTGTTACGTGACAATACGTGATTAATTAAACGCATGTTAGTAAATATTTACTAATGAATAATAATTTAGGCCGGTTTTGAATAATTTTTGGGTTTTTGTTTTTGTAAAATGAATATCTTTCTCTTAGTTAAACATGATTGTCGTTGAATTACTCAGTTGAAGTACAAGGGGCTTCTAGAGGCAAAGCTATTAATTACATTACAGTTTTAGGATTATCTCATTATCGCTATGCTCAAAATTCAATGTTAATAAAGATACAAAACTTGTTTTAGAAATTTTACTAATATCAGCTATGTTTTAGTAAAGGTCACTTATAAGTATAAACACGCAATAGATTCAGAATGAAAAAGAAAATACTACCGTAGTAATACCTGTAATTACGCAAATAGTACAAATTTCAATAAAACACTATAAACGGTTAAAAACGCGAAGTATTAAAACAGTCGAAACGGTGGCGTCGAAATGAATTAATGAAATTTAACTTAAATATTTCGCGTTTTGAACCGGTTAAAATATTTTGTTTAATTGTGGCTCACGTGAACACAGCTGCTGAAAAGAATCCGAAACTTAGGCAGAAGTTACAATATTATATTGTAAATAAGTTAACTAATATAGTTAAGAAAATTAATACTACCATATATTTACTTAAAAAAGTCTGTTGAACAAGGAGTTCACGAGTAGCTGAAGACCAAATCAGTTTTTATTTTGTTTTTAGGAGTCAAACATATAACGCTAAAGGAAATGCTAAGTAAACTATAGAGCAACAAGAATGGCAATAGTATTAAGTCATAATAAATTGAAGTCTATATTAAAAACCAAGAGGAACACTTACTTCAAAGACATATCTTCGTGCAATTGCTTCGGTAGCAGGTCCAGAAGCTGTGAAACATTCAAATTCTCCCAGGACAGATCTCTACCCAGGATCTGCTTGGTGCAATTCAGAAAAGTTTGTATATGTTCTTCAGAATCCATCGCTGCTAAGAAATCACTTAGACGTCGTTCACTTAAGTTTTGTTAAACTTGTTAAGTTCTTAAAATTGTTTATTTAATTGGGTGAGGTTTATCTACTTCGTAAATATTTTATTATTCCAAAAAAAAATTTTTACTTATTTCCATGCTATTCATTAAAGGAGACAAAGAATTTTGACAAAGTTTTCTCTCCTAAAACGATGTAAAATGTAAACATAAGGCGAAGATTTTAAGACACGTACGCTACGTCTTGTAACCAAAACGACTGAACAGATTATGATCAAAATTATACTAATGCTAGAACGTCATAAATAGGTAGTTTTTTTAATAGATTTATTTTTTTCTCGAGGCAGTTAATACAAACCGGACGTTAAGTCACAAATAGTACATTTCGTACCTGAAAATGCATGTTTCGAATTAATTAAAGACATGCCCTCTTATTTATCTACCTAAATGATAATTGCTTTTTCTTGTCTTCCCCGTGACAAACCGGGAACAGGGTAGGAAAATCACCCATGAAGGTGATGAAAATTAATCAATGCCGGAAAAAGGTCACTCACCTGCCAATGTTGACGTATTACAAATATTCAATTAGTAAGACCGGAGTTATACGATGGAAGTTATGGGCTTTTTGAACTCAATTAAGTATTGAATTGATAAAATAAAACCTTTGTTACTGGTTTCTGAGTAAGCCTAGATAAGGTAGCGTGCATCCAAAGCTGCATGTAACATATTAATTATTAATTTTATATTGTAACTATCCTTTACGAGATCTATCTGCTACATTATTAGTTTAGTAGGTTTAATATATATTATTTATTTAAATAGACAGACAATAGTTTTAACTTTTTAAATTTAGAAAACTTGGAAGGAGTAAAAACTTGTAGGTATTTAAAAATAAATATTTTTTTATAACTTAAAAAATATATAATTATGAAGTTGGTATTTTTCCTATTTCAATACCCATACTGCCATTGTAGCTTAGTTTTTTTTTATGGACTGACAAACAAACATACTTTATATATATTTATATTATATTATCTACTTAGATATCGATTTAAATATAGCTTTAGTATGTTTTAAAAATAACATTGTCAATTTTAAGTGACTGTTACACAATATTAATTGACACATAAATTTAACACGACGATAAAGTTTTAGCTGTCAATTTATCACTGTGTGTGTTATTTACGATATAATAGACATGGAGTCACAATTACATTAATTACAGTCATAACAATGATTAATACAAGACATTACATGAAACACTAAACGACTGTTTATTGCTAACTGGAAGGTTACTTGGTTGTTAATGTAAATATTATATTTTGATAACTTATTAATTTTTATAATTAATATACAAATAAGCTGTGCTATTTATATCGATACTTTAACCATTGCAAAGTGAAATATGTGAATAAGTATAGTTTTAAAAAGTTTTAAAAGCGCTTAGTTTACCACTAAATACACAATCTCACTACAAATAGTGAAAACTATTTTATCCATATGTTTTAGTTACCACTATTCACTATTTTGTTTATATTCTAGTCGCATAACTTTTCCATACAACATTTATGTTGGTATAAGCACAATCGCGTCCAATCGGCAGGGCAGAGTAAACGCTACTGAACTCTGAAGGAAGTTTACAGCGATCGCCATAAAATGATTTCTATAATGTAGCAGTCCCTTGTCTTGGCCCATGGGTGTGATTCGTGTTATTGAACTTTTCTTTGGGGATTTTGAGACGTTTGAAAAGTAACGGATTGTTCAAGAATCCTATAGTTTATATGTATTTTAGCGGAAGCTAAAAATACATATGAAAATGAAGGACTTCCGAAAGTAAAATGAATTAATTAGAAATTGATTTACAAAGATCCTGTGTACAGAACATGTTGTATGAAATACAATTAACATTTGTTTTTAATTCAAATAAGTGTCGTATCCATTACGAGGGCACGAGGCAAGCAAATTTCTGTATCTATCTCACTAAATATCTATTTAATTAAGTTAATCAAACATCTTTGGCCTGCTTCACGAACATATTTTATTATATTTCCCCAGGATTCGAATTCAGGAACTATAGAGCTTAACGAATAATTAGACAATGTAATTTGTTTGAGACTCGACGTATCGAGTATAATTTTTATTTAAAAGGTTATATTTTATGATAGAGGAAGACAGACATACGTGGGAGTCACTTGATGGAAGGTTAAACATCTATCCAAATAACATCTATACAAGATGCGCTATAGACCTATTTTGATTTTGGATAATCGGAAATCCACAGACTGAAACCGAAACGCGATTAAGCTTCTCGGCTTTTTCATCTGTGGATGGTGGTTCGTGACCCGGACGGAATTTTGATAGTCCTACCACCCATTTAATATATACATGTGGGACTCGGTGGGAATCGAAGCTACGACCCGTTCATTATATGCCATACGTTGCTACCATTAGACCAACGAACCTACCTAGATTTGTCATGTATATTACCTATATAGAACAAAGGAATGTCTAAGACATCAGCCAAATAACACGATCGTGACCCTTCTTTGAACTGATTAAATAATGACTAACAGTGATGAAATGTTGGCACTTATATTTCGCTGCTAAATTATTCTCAGAGCGATCCAAGCACCTGATAAACAAAGGTGTTGTGGTAGATTTCCTTTTGGAATTACAAATTTATAGCTTAGAGCACGGTGACATAATATAAATCATAACAATGATACTCGTCGAAAAGCACAGTAGTTTTGATACAAGAAAGTTAATCAATCAATCTTTCTTGTTAAATACAACACTGTAACGGTTGAAACTACGGCTCGACGTTTCGGATGCTTTGCAGCAGTTAGCAGACTCCCCATGACCATTTGAAAATGATTTTTAACTTCGGCCCGACATTTCGGATAAGTTTAACTAATATATCGCGTTTTAAACCGTTAAGGTGTTTTATTTCAATAAAACTTATTTGCCGTAGTCACGGGGCGACTGCTAACTACTGCAAAGCATCAGAAACGTCGAGCCGTAGTTTCAACCGTTACAGTGTTTTATTTAAACAAGAAAGATTCATTATTCGAAATACAAAGATGTGTCTTGTTTAGATATTTATAGTTTTCTGTTAGTCTATGATCTAAGGATAAACGGATTAAGGCATTGCTTTGTGTTTTGCAATATTGCATGATGCTTTACAGATAGTAGGATTACATCTAATAATAGCTACCCACTGGAATAACAATTTATCTTTACAGAATCAAAGACAGTATTTTAAATAACAGTTAACGATATTTTTTGATGTCTCCCAAAATATTTATAATATGCATTGTTGCATTGAAGGTAAACTTATTTGAAAATTATTTTAACTATGGCCCGACGTTTTGGGTGCTTTACAGCAGCCATGATCATGGGGAGACTCCATGATCATGGCTGCAAAATACTTTTCATACAAGTTTAAGTACTAAATATCCCGTTTTAAACCGTTAAATTGTTTTATTTGAACTATATTACTATTATTATTACAAAATATGTCCACCACATAAAAACCTGACTCTCCTTGACCACGGTTGCTGCTAAGCATCCAAAACGTTCGGCTGTAGTTGAACATAAGTTGATTAAAATATTTCGCCTTTTAAACCGTTAAAGTGATCTATTTGAAAGTAATATTTTTTTTCGCTACCTACGAGACGGTGTATACATAAAGTTTGTCTATTTTATTGATCAAACTGAGACTAAGGTATTTCCCCATAATTCCAACCTAGGGCCGCTCATGCTGAGCTCTATCATTATTAAGAAGGAGTTTGAAATCAATCTATTAAACTAAATATATAATATAATATATACATATGTTTTTAAAATGTGAACCTGGTACCTATGGTAAATTATCGTGTAATAATTGAGCGGTGTCTGCTTGTAATTGATAATTTCGTGTTTACTTATGATCGTCGTGGTGGAAGCTTCGTAATATGAAGGCTAGTATGAGGTACAGAAACAATAATACGCCTTCGCAGCTGATACTAAATACCTATGTTGTTACAAAGTGAAAGCTAAGTCTTCTCATGCCGAGGCAATGTTTGTGATCGAAATAATGAAGACTCTCTAACCAAGACTTGTTTAAGAACTTAAATTGAATACTCGCTATCTAAGCCTTATAAACGTATTGTGTGGTTCACAAGAATACATATGGTTATTGAGAAAGAACCTTATGTTCCTTATGTTTGTCATATAAACATTACCTGTAAAAGCTTTTAAAATTATATAATTTCGATTGAAAATGTTTGGACACGGGCGGTATTTGAAACGGCATCGACAGCGTTCCATGCTGCTGCTTTAAACTTGACGCGGTAGCTAACCTGGTCAGAGCAACACCATTAAGCGCTGTGGACGCCGGTTCAACGCCCGCGCGTCTCGTAATCTACATAGATTTTTAATTTAGCTGACTGGTCCAGGTTTGTTTAGAAAATTCACTTTCCACAGTTTTATTTAATACCCATATATGTATTTCGATTATTTAACTAAACGCGTTTCACCAACTCAAATATTTGTTTTAACATCACAATTTGAACAACATTGATTTAAAATCGTTTTCAAACACAGGATATGAAGTCTGGATGTGACTGTATTTTTACAGTAAATTTTAAATGTTGCCTCAAGCCAAGCTTATTTAATTGGTGATGACCGCAATCCGCAAAAACCCAAGCGATATATTCTGCCACTTGCGTTTGATTTCGTTTAGTTTTGGTTTGTTTCTATAGCCTTATACGAAATAGATCTTTTTAATATTTTACATTATTGCGTCAAACTCTGTGACACAATGGGCGTGATAAGCAAATTATTGACTTAGCGAATTGTTGATATTTTCATCAGTGCCATATATCCTGATTATCTGATAAATAATTAAGGGAAAAACGTTTGGCCCCTCGTTTTGGCCTTAAATTATACCCTCTGCTATGCTACGCGGGCAAATTTCGAGAAAAATCGTTCCCCTAAAAAGTCTCTATCACTGTCCG